AGAGAGAGAGAGAGAGAGAGAGAGAGAGAGAGAGAGAGAGAGAGAGAGAATGAACCAAGTCTAGTTAATTTTGCCCCTATTTTCAAGCATTTAAGTCTGACCACATAGGATAGGGACCTCATTCACGAAATAAGCTCTTTCTCACTCCGTCCATTTTACAGCTCCTTGTGAAATGTACCTGTGAGAAAATGGATGATGTGATTATGCTGCTGTCTAAGGCACTCTCTGAGGAACACTGAGCTGTAGTCCTTCCTTCAGTTGCTGCTAACTCTACTCTGTCTTAGCTATTCAAATCTCACAAGGCAATTTTAATTGTTCATGATTTCTAAATGTATTTTTCAGTCTTATTTGTTTCACACTTGGGAAAGATAAATCGTCACAAATGTTAATTACTGATTGTATGCAAAGGAAAGCTGCTCTGAAATCAATACTGGGCTTTCTGAGGTGGCATCATTTTTTCATGTATAGTGCATTATGTTTTCTCAAGTAAACTTATAAAGTTAATGTTATTAACTAGTTTGCTTTCTGGCTAAGTGCACTGACTATCATAAGTCTTCTGGTTGTTGTACCCTTCACAATAATTTCCTCTATATAATATAGACACAGTGTGTGAACTGCTATAACAACTGCTATTCTAGGAACCAGGACAACATGGCAGTAAATGTGAATCCTTCTACTCTTACCATTGCCGTTCCTTACTCTCTCTGAAATGTTCTCACTTAACGAGCTTGCTCATACTCAGGAAGGTAAACAACTGAAAACCTTGTGGTGGCTTGTAAAATCTGGTTCAGACCCAAATGCTCTACTTTATTGGAATTCATTTTTCTTGTCCAGAAATGAGTATACGACATCACTACATTGGGTCCTGTCCATGATGCACAAATGCAGGACAATAAAGTACATTTTTAGTGTTGGAATGTTGCTATGGGTTGCTTTTGCTTCATTAATTACTCTACAGATATTTTTATTGTATATGTATAAAAAAAACCCAAGCTTGTAGGGATTAAACACTTAGCTCAATGTATTAAAACCTAACACAGAATCAATCCATTTTCTCCATGTCCAATGATCAAGAACTTATCTTCCTCCATCTTCGATCTTCCGTCCCTATGTAGTAAAGATGACAAGGTTAGACAATAATATACAAATTCAGAAGCTGGTATTTTCTCTCATGTGTAGAAAAAGAGAGATCTGCATAGACCTAGTCCATCCATTGAAGGCAATAGTACCACCTACTCAGATGACTGGAAGACAATATATACATTTTTTTCTTTTCTTTTATTAGATATTTTCTTTATTTACATTTCAAATGTTATCCCCTTTCCTGGTTCCCCTCTTGAAGCCCCCATCCCATCCCCTTCCCCCTGCTTCTATAAAGTTGCTCCCCCACCTACTCACCTACTCCTGCCTCCCTACCCTGGAATTTCCCTACACTGGGGCATCAAGCCTTCACAGGACCAAAGGCCTTTCCTTCCATTGATAACCAACAAAGCCATCCTGTGCTACCTATGCAGTTGTAGCCATGGGTAGCTCCATGTGTACTCTTTGGTTGATGGTTTAGTCCCTGGGAGTTCTGAGGGGTATGGTTGGTTGATATTGTTGTTCTTCCTATGGGGTTGCAAACACCTTCAGCTCCTTCAGTCCCTTCTCTAACTCCTCCATTGGAGACACCGTGCTAAAGTTCTAAAAGTATATATTTGTATGACAGATAAAGTACTACCATACCTGTCCCTCCCTGACCCTCCTGTTTCATTACTTATCTCTTGATTACTGTGTGTTTTGTGTAAACAAACTTAGGTTTCTTAAAAGGCAAACTGGCTATTTACATTGGAAGTCTTAAGCATCCAGTTCATGATTTGTTTCTTCTCGTCAGAAGAGGTTTCTGTTCATTAGAAGAGCTGTCATAATGAATCTCATCTATAGCAATAAGCTGTACTGTGACACCATCTACACCCAAAGGCTGAAAGCACCAACCATGGGTATATTTTTGATATATTACAATATATTTATGGATACATTACAAGCACACATGGATTGGAAGGAAGCCAGTGATGTTGACTAGGTACATGCATGATTATATATTTTACTGGCCTGTTTTTGTTCAGGTTTAATATTAATTTGACTTCTTCATGGAGACATAATGAGACCTTCTCTATTCCAACAGGTAGTTTGCTATGACCATCTCATGTGAGTTTTTTAAGTACTTGCCTATATTCCAATGAACCTGCAAGAGCTCATTCAGAATCAAGAATGTAAACACTCTCTTGACAGGAACAAAGACACGAATGATTTTTTTTCTTAATTTTATTTTTCAAAGATTTTAACTTCAAAATTCTCTCTCTCTCTCTCTCTCTCTCTCTCTCTCTCTCTCTCTCTCTCTGTGTGTGTGTGTGTGTGTGTGTGTGTGTGTGTGTGTGTGTGTGTGTATACCTTTACATGGGCATGGGCATGTTCCTGTCCAGGCCAGGAGCAGCCATTGGGTCTCGTGGAACTAGAGACACAAGCTGTTGTAAACAAGCTTAGATGGTCAAAGGGAACTGAACTTAAGTCTTCTAAAAATAAATAAATAAATTTTCACCAACAATAAGCCATTTCTCCAGCTCAGGGACAGTGATTAATTTAGATTACTACATTCTTCCCTATTTTATCTTTTAGCTTCATTTTCTTAGTAATGGTTGTCACTAACTCACATTATACAAGTACAGACAGGGAAGTATTTTGTCCTTGACATTTTTTCTTCATTATATAGTCAGTACACACAATCTATGTTTAGTATGTGTTACAAGGTCGCTACTGTTTGTATTAGGATGATTGAATTAATTCCCATAGGGAATAAGAGGGCAGCATTACTAACACAAATTGGGAAAAAAACATTTAATTTGTCATGCACTTAATATAAACCACAACAAACTGGAAGGAATACACTTGGAGAATCAAAAGCCAAAGTAGTACAGATACCATGTATTTGTTAGTAATAAACGTCTCCAACCTTCATATTCCATATTCAGTGACAATTTATGACAAAAAACTGTTGTTGACTCTGGTTAAAAGAGTCAGCTGTTTTGTCCAAGATCATATAGCTAAGGCAAGATTAGAATATACATTTTTCTTTTTATTGAAAATAGATTCTCTTATACAATACATCCTGACCAAAGTTTCTTCTCCATTCATTCTTCCCAGATCCCTCACCCTGCTTTTCCTCTCTCCAGGTCTATCCTCTCCCCCCCCCTTTCCCTTCAGAAAATAGCAAGCATCCAAGAGATACAAACCAAGCATATCAAAACAAGATTCAATAAGACAAGGGAAAAGCCTTCATATTGAAGCTGGAAAAGGCAGCATAAAGCAGGAAAAGAGCCCCAAGAGCAGGCAAAAAGTCAGAGACATGCTCTTACTTACCAAGTCTTCTGTGTATAGGCTAGTTATGGCTGTTAGCTTGGTGTTTTTTAGAATATACGTCTTTCAAATAAGAAGTTACTGTTACTTTCACTGAAGAGTCCTGTTACAACATTTGAAGAAATGAAGAGATGAGCTAGGATAACTTAAAAAGAGAAAAAGCAAATATTACTGTATTAATGTTACTGTAATGCCACAGCAAAATATTGTAGCCTAGGCAGCTCATGTAAACCATGACTGTATACCTCTCTAGACTAGAGTGCCCATTTTAAGGCTCGACTTGGTTTTGGGAGAGTACATTTTCTGCTCTAGTGATTTGGAGATGGTAACTTCACATGGAGTGTTTGCGTAATATTTATATTTTATAAAAAGACAGACAGCGAGACAGAGAGAGTACTTTATTTAAACCTAATTCTAAAATTCTCAATTGCTCTATCACCACATAAAACATTAAAAGTCAAATGGAAGGTCAGGCATCATCCCAGCAAGTCATGGAGATACAGTTCAGTCCCTCAGAATTAGAAACATCTCCAGTAAGAGAGAGTTCTTACAAATAAGAAAATTTTGAGTTAGTCTTTACAAAGGAGTTCTAACACATGAAACTTCGGTCCTCATTTATTCAGATCATGCTGGTTTTGCATACATATCAAATGACTATGTGACTTTATATTTTTAATATGAAAATTAAACTAACAGACTATATTAATTTTCCTTTATTCATTTGCAGTGAAGGACGAATGTGTAGACTAGATTACAGGGTTTACTGAAATGCACTGCCTTTCTTTTCTGTTACAGGCCCAACAGCTCACTGAACTGGAACAAAAGCTAGCTGTAGCCAAAAATGAACTTGAGAAAGCAGCTCTTGACAGGGTAAGTTCACATCCAGGAGCCATTGCAACATTGGTTTCAGTAACATGGGATACACTTGCTACTGCCTGTGACTGTCCACTTCAATTATAGACATTCTGTACAAAACTGGGTATAGAACCCCCGAATGCTCCATGTCGTCCTTGGACTCCAAGTTCTCGTTTTTTTGTTTGTTTGTTTGTTTTGTTTGTTTGTTTTTTTCTTCCTTAGTAAACTGAATGAATTATGTGAATTTATGACTTCATTTATCTTTAATCTCATGGATTTATTTATTTCATAACACCATGGATAAACTTACTTACTGTGAAATTCATGATATTGTGTATTAACTCTGGATGAATGAGTACAAAGAGAATGGAAAGAATCAATTGACATCAGGTTGTTAAAATGTGTCTTAAATGCCTACGCCCTGGAACTCCTCCTAACATTAGAAAACTTGGAAATGTGCACAAGAATATTACATGTAGCAATAATTATGTCAAGAAGAGAGAATATAGGATTTCATATATATTGTATGATCATATTTTGGGACACTAGCCCAAATATAAAACTACTAATAAAATATATTTTGTCTATCAGTAGTAATTTCCCAGACACATAAAAATATTTAAAGTATTTATGGCACTAGGTCAAGTAAAATAATAAATATCAAAATTTTAGATGTAATTGTTTTCTGAGAAATATACGGTAGATGGCTGCAAAGAAAACTTGAATGTACCTCACATTTCACCCTCCGCTTATTGAAGAGTCGGAGTAATAGTCTGTATATATACACATTGCATGGATGCTATGCATGTAGTACATATGTACTAGGTACATGTTGCCTGCGTATTTATTTGTATTATAAATATTTTTCTATCTGTGTGTAATTTATGCACATTACAACTGAATTAAGAAGTTATTAACATGCCTTTGCACATTCCATTCTGACTCCTGCTAACCTCATGCTCAATATTATTTTCTCCATAGACCTGTAATTCTCAAAATCATCTTGGTTAAACTTACAGTGTTCTACCCTCTGTCAAGAACTGTCTATGCTGTGACTACTGTTTAGTGAATATGCTATCAATAACATTGAACAGGGAAACCACTGTATTTGTGGACTTATGTTTTCAATAATTCATGATATGAAACCAGAGGATTTGTATAAAAAAAATTGTCTTCTAATTACCCAGTTTGAACTGTGTTTTGTTGTGGAACAGTCAGGATTGGTTCCCTTTGGAGATCTTCAGGTTTTACACTTTAGGAAATCTAATACTGTGTGCATATTTTGACACTATACCATACACCTGGCACCGTGTGGTAGGTTTGAAAACCAGTCTAAATTCTGCTGTTTGGGGATATGACTCTGTCTCTCATTAGCACATTTCTCCATGTTGTTATGATCCACACATCATCACAGTTGACATATGTGACATCTCAGACATTGTATGTAGACTGTGTCATAACAGAGAAATGAGAAAGTAGATATCCTGATTGTTAATGGTGTTCCTTTGTAAGACTTGTGACTCTGAGACAAACTAATATTCAAATAGGTAGATAGCTCCTCACCATAGTTTTTTGGAAAGGCTATTTCTTAATTTATCCAAGTTATTAGCATGTGATAATTCAGAGTAGCCTGGCTTTCATTTTATGGAGTAGGTCATGCATAATTCATTTTACCAAAATTAGTATTATAAAAATTTAATTTATTGTTTTCCAGTGATGTATACATCATCTCACATAGCACATGCTTGGCTACATTTTACAAAAGACTTGGGGATGTGTAGATCTGATGGAAAGAAAAAAACAAGAGGAACATGCAATTCACACTTAAAAACTATCCTCTGTCTTTGCTCCACTTTCTCTGGAAAAAAAATGCATTATATCCCAAGAAGATACTGAGTCCTCAAGTTCCCAAGGCAGTCTCACAACTTCTAAAATGTTATTATTTATGGCCATTGAATTATTTTTTTATGTGCTCTCCCTGATTGGATGCTAGATAATTATTTAATTTATCAGTTGTGATATAGTTTTCAAATAGCTTTTGTGAGATGCCATTATGTTAAGCATTACAGGAATCAAAAAGACATGACCTTTGTTCAGATATTAAATATAACAAACCAATCAAAAAATAAGACTTTCTGATTCACAAGGTAATAGAATAATAGAAACTGAATCTAGAAATTACAAGTACTTATGGATATCACCAAATCTCAGAGCCATAAAACACTCTATTTGTTAGAAATCGGCTTATGTCACAGAACTCGGGGCTGCTGCAGAGAGGTTCCTTCTCCTTTAGTTCTGTGCCCTTGTCCCATTATTCATCACTCTCATGTGCACTCCTGTGCAATGAGCCCATATCCTGCCATAGCCTGTATTATTCTGGGGCTCTGAGAGTTGAAAGTCTCCAGGGAAAGTACCCCTGTGTTTAAGGAATCACTTTTGTTGATTGGCTGTGTTCAGACCTTCCCAGTGCTATGCTTTATAGAGGTCAGTCACAGCACTTATATTTTAAAGGTGACTTGAGAGTTATATGCATAAAAACTAAATTGATGGGAATATTGCCTGTCACATGGAAAAACGCAAAAAGCTTATCCATTAGTCTTAGCACTGGATAAGGTAAGATTGCTTTTGTGTGAAGAGAATTTTGTCTTTAACCTTTAATATTCTGTCACCTCTTTTTTGGTACATAGAACTACAAAAAGCATTTCACACTATTAGGGATTGATTTTAAGAAATATCAAGCGAAATACAAATAAAGTTTAAAAGCTCTAGCTCTAAATCCAGGTGGAAAGGCTATATCAATCTATATTGGACAAAAACTACAGTTTGAAAAAATTGTTCCCCCCCATTCTCTATCACATTTATATGAGACATTTTTTACTTCCCTTTGACCTTTTAGATATCCTGTGTCTCATGTTCATATAACCTGAACTATCACAAAACACTGTGAGAACATCTTACCATTCCAACTTTCTTTCTAATGAATGAAGTATCAATTTATTATACCAAAATAAACAAAGCAAAACACAAAAAAACCCTCAACATCTAAAAATTAATTCTGCATTTTCAAAAAATGTATTGTTTATTCAGCTACTACTGAAGTATACTGAAAAATTGGGCATTTTAGCTACAAAATTCCCAACTTCAAGAGTGGAGGGTACAACAAACGGGAAAAATGGTTTCAGACAAGGAAGAAAAGGATAAACCAAGACTTACGAGAGAAGAAAAGAGTTCTCTTCTAGATCCAGAGGAAACAGGTACAGAGGAAAACATGCTACACATGTTATCTCATACTCTAGTTAGGGACATCTTGTTTTAGTAACCTTCAAAGTAAATAGTTACCTGAAGCTTTGATGTAATCGAAGGATGGTGAAAACATAATGGGCTGTGCTATCAGGTCCTTGTCCCTGGCCTTGTGCAAACACAGCACTGATAACATCAGAAGCGGGCTTGTTCAGTTACAGGCTCTTTCTTGGGGAGAGTGGTTAGAAAGAGGATGACATTAATTCTGGTGATGAATGTCAGACCATGGTCTCTGGTAGGATCCATCCAGACTGTCAACAAAGAACTGGACCAAAATGTAAGACAAATGGTCCTGGTGCAGTTTATAGTCCCAAGAATGAAACTCAGGAGGGAAGACCTTAAGAACAGCTTGAAGCAGAAAAAAAAATACAGACTACTCTGTTTTTCCTCTTGAATGTTTGCTTGTGTTGTTTAAAACCATGGCTTCATTGTTATTCATTCTTATTTGCATTTAGCATCTGAATTGAGTTATTGCTCTGACTTGGAGAATTACTAACCAAGTGAAAATATAATTTAATCCCTCTAGCCCTAAGACCATCAAAAGGATGCTTTGGAAGTTCCTTGTGCTCAAGCATTCTATTTTCAAATGGTTTTGCACTGGTTCCCCTAGAACCTTCTAGGAATGAAGGCCTAACCAAAATATCCCTTCTTATTGTCTCCATGCAGAGTGTATAGTTTCACCTTAACAGTCCCAATCTCTTGAAAAGGTATATGCAGTTCATTGGTATCTGTCTCGTGCCTACCACTTTAACCACACATGCTGGCATTTTCTCACTGAACTACTTACACGTCACATCCTTCTGCTGCATTTTCTTCTTTGAAGACTTAAGGCAAATCTCACTAAACACAATGGACAAGAACCTTCTCACAGCCTGGTAGTTATCTCTTGAAATGTTCTTCATCAAATAAGTTAGTCCACTGCTTTTTAATTCATCCATATGCACATTTTAGTATGGAAGCAGAATACAGTCAGTATTTGCCAGGATGCAGCATCTGTGGCCTCTTGACCAATATCTAACACTGTCCTTCTTGACCTCTGATGTTTCCTAAACTTCCTTTCTGCTAAAATATTACAGGTCTTCTACTGCCTCATTAGAATCACCTACCAAATTTTGCTTCTAACTTCTTATAATTATCTGGCCTGAGGTTTCAACCTGGCTTATAGACAACATGATCAAGTCTATAGCAGCAAGAAACCCATAGACAACATGATCAGGTCTATAGCAGCATGAAACCCATAGCTTGGTATCCATTTTCTACATTCATTCTTTTTCTTATCAATGCAACCAAATATCTGGTGAAACATAGCTTAAAGACAGGAGGATTTAATCTGGCTCATGGTTTGAGGGGTTTCATGGGTATCCAAACTATTGGCAATGTAAAATGATATCATGTATACAGTATCCAATGAATATTGGACCACATTCATACCTCATGCCAATGCCTAATACACTCCTCCATCATCCTGAGAAGCAATACGTGGTAGCAGGAATGGCTCTCAGATGCAGTAGCAGTAGGTTGAGATGCTTGATCAAATCTTAGCTGATCAGGTTGCAGAAAGAGATGAAGGAAGTGGAAAGGATGGAGGAAGTGGGAAGAAGAGAGAGGTGGTGAGGATAGATCAGGCAAGAAGTGTGGCCGTGCTATTTCTGCTTAAGGCCTGTATCCCTTCCCCTCATCCTAGACTCCTTATCCATCACTGTGACACCAGCTGTGCACAAGGTATTCAAACATAGAACCAAGTGTAGACACCACATTGAAATAGGACAAGAAATTTCATTTGAAAATCTGTCTGAAGTTGAATGGAGCATAGGCTAAGACCGATGTGGGAAATGGTAATAAGAACCACAGGTAAAATTGTCAATCCTTCCCTCTCTTTCAGGACTCACAAATGAAAGCAATGAAAGAGACTGTACAACTCTGCCTGTCATCAGTTTTCCGTGATCAGCCTCCTCCTTTGAGTCTCATCCCATCAAATCCAACCCAGATGTTGCATCCACCCAGGACAATTGCTTCCAGGATTCCAGAAACAAGGACAAAAAGCAAGGTACTTCTTTTTCATGTGTTACCAGTAATGACTACTAAAGCACTGTCTTAAAGATCCACTATGTGTACTCACCACACTGGACCCAAGTAGGATACCAAGTTCACAAACTTATCAGATAGCTCCCTAGAGAGAGTAGCTCAGGCTGCAGTCCCAGAGAAGGCTGGCAGAAAGCAATGTTTCATTATCAAAGACCTTGGTTCATAAGTGGGAAATTGTCATTGTTGATGTTACTACAACTGCAACAACAAAAGGGTAGAAAACAATGAATTTTAAGTAATTTTTTAAAAAGACTTGTATTACATTCTAATAAACAACACAAATACAAACTTTCTTTGGAAATAAAAGCAACATCCATCATACATGCTAAAATTAAGTATATAACATTCATCGCATGAGAATCATTTCATAGTATGTAAAGATATTCTGACGTGCACACAAAAAAGAAACCTCACCACACATCTTTTCAATTAGATAATTTTGTGTTGGCTTCCACTCGCATTATTAAGAGGAATTTTGATGTGCCTTCCTGTTTCAGAGCAGACAATCTGCAAGTTGCCTCATCAAATCCCATAATACCCGACTATCAGAGAAGACCTTGGGGCTTCTACCCCACTTTCTTTCAGTCTCTACAGAAACCTGTTATTGTGCTCTGTGTGTAAATAAACACAGACAACCTGAAGGAGCTGTTGGAGGGAGGAGTTTTGTTTCAGTCAGTGCTCTTGAAGGAACGGCTTCCCTAGTTAGTCACTATTTAGGATGTCTATTATGCAGAGAAGCCTGACTTAGAAATCCAGGCTGTACAGGTAAGGGCAAAAAACATTGACAAACAGGGGTGCAAAAGGTGATTTCTGTGATACACATGAGCTTAATTCCTGTTTGTTCCTTACTCTTCTTATTCTGACATTGTTACTTGCGATTGTGGGAGATTTACTTTATGTAATCTCTTGCTATATTAACATACTATCCTGTAAAAAAAATTATGAAACTCTATTTCCACTGTTTCGTTTTATCACCTTTGCTCTTACTATGTGTTGAAAGAAACTCATAATTTAAAAACAATGTCTTCCATGTGTTTTTCTGCCCTCTTGCACATTCTAGGTTTAAAATATTTGATTATTTATATCGCAAATAATACAGGCACATGAAACTGTACTGTGTTATGTTCATCAGAGAAGGTACTCAGTAAATTTCTTGAAAAGACTTCATACAATCTCATAATAAAGGGCAAGACATGGCCTTGTTTCCCTAGTACTACAATGGGGACAGGAACAAACCCTCATCTAAAACTGATGACGTCCAGCAAAGTATCCCCTCAATTCTGTGAACATGTGACTTTTGTCTCCAACTCAAATTAGATAAAATTGCTTAAATTAATTACAGATATGGGTTTTTTAAGACCTTGAATATATGGAGGAAATTACTGAGTATTGCTTTTATTGATTTTTCTAGGATTTAATGTATGTCCTGTCATTGAAATTAATAAATATTTATTATCTGTCATAGTTTAACACTGAAAAGAGCAGGAAGGAATTTAGCAAGCAGATTGTAGATTGCTTATTTTTCAGAAACCAATAATAAAAAAATCCAATTGTTTAAGATGAATTTCAATAAATCTAGGCCAATGTAACATGCAGTATTGTATTTTAGAGATTAACATTAAAAGCTTTTCTAATGTTTATGTTTTGTCTATGTTCTTCATCTTCTTAATAGTGGCAGAAATTGTATTTTATGTGTGCTCAGGGCATAATCTCTTTGCAGACACCTAGCAGACAATATTGTTCTAAGTCCTGAATCATATAACATGGTGTAGTATATACAAGAAAATCAAACTCATAAGTCATGAGAAACTTTTTCTCTATAAAAGAAAAGTAACATGCTTTGTGTATGAAGGTAGAGATTGAACACAGGGCTCTGCACAACCTAGGCAAATAATTTCCCATGAAGCTACAGTCTCAGCCCAAACATTGTTTGTTTATTTGCTTGTTTGCTTGCTTGTCTATTTGAGACAGGATGTCACAATCTGTACTTGGGTAGCTTAAAACACTGGACATACACCAAGTTTGCCTTGAATTGACAGAGATCTGCCAGTCTCTTTCTACTGAGTGCTGAATTTAATGGCTTGGCCCATATATAATTTTGAAATTAGCACATTTGACTCATTAGCCATTAAAGAGAGTTCCTTGTAGCCCATGAGGTGGTATGCCTGACAGAGAGTTGTCTCATAGTTACCCTACTCTCTGATTCTTTTGATCTGGGATAGCTATAGTAATGTGACCACTTAAGAGTTCTGTCTCCCATGCTACTGCATTGATTTTCATCAATTATATCCATTTTTCATTTTGTATATTTAATTTTATATTTGAAAAATAATATACAAAATGATGTCTTTTCTTTTGATGCTTACATACATATAAGTTTTGTATGTTGTTAAATAATCACACATCATAACCCTCCATTGCAGTTCCCTCTTCCTGTCAGTCATCCTTCTCCAGAGCCTTTCCCATTTATCTCTATGCTTATAACAGTATTTGTGTATCTATATCATTTACCTAGCAAGCTATCTAGCATCTCTCATCACCAATCTGTGGTCTAGAAGTCACCTATCTATCCATTCATCTGTCCTATCTCTATCTTTCATCTAGCCCTCTCCTGACATCAACCCAATATTTAAAAGAGAAAAAATGTGTTATTTTTCTTACCTGCTTCAGCTTATTTTAACACAATGTGTTCCAGCTTTACACATTTTTCTGAAGATTACATAAACTTGTTTTCTGTGGTTTAGTGACCCTAATTGTGTTTAGGTACTATATTATTTGATGTTCATCTGTGTATTGACATTTAAATTAATTCCATAGCCTGACTATTGTTATTAATACTACAATGGATATGATATGCGCATATCCCTAAAGTGTGTAGGTATTGTGTGGGCATCTTTGCAGTATGCAGACATTATGTGTGCATCTGTATAGTATCCAAATTTTGTGTGTGCAACTCTACAATATGCAGATGCTGTGTGTGCATCTCTACAATATGCAGATGCTGTGTGTGCATCTCTACAATATGCAGATGCTGTGTCTGCATCTCTACAGTATGCAGATACAGTGTGTGCACCTCTACAGTATGCAGATACTGGGTGTGTATCTCTACAGTATGCAGATACTATGTGCATATCTATGTAGTATGTAGATACCTATGTGCATCTCTATAGTATGTAGATACCTATGTGCATCTCTATAGTATGCAGATACTGCACTTACATCTCTATGTTATTTGGATGCACAACAATTTGGGTATATACCAGGAGAGTTGTGCTGGTTTCAAATTTATGAGGAATTTTCATTCCTATTTGCATGTATTAACTGCACATTTTATATTCCCACTAGCAAGGAATAAATGTTCTTTCTTCATATTCTTGCCAGTGTTGATTGTTTAATTCCTGAGTTACAGTCATCCTGACTGAGATGGACTCTGCACTTTTGAATGTTTATCTCTCTCTTTTTTTTTTTTGAGAACAATCTGATTCATTTGACTGTTTATTCTTGAGCATTAATTTGCTGATTTCTTTGTATATTTTAGAGCTTAAGTCCTGGTTACGTAAGTATTTAACCAGGACTTTCCCTAATTCTGTCAGCCATCTCACCAGTCTGCTAATTGTTTACTTTGCTGAACAGAAACACTTCCATTTCATGCAGTTTCATGTGTCAATTATTAGCTTTATTTTCTAGACTGTCTGGTGTCCTTTCAGTCAGTCTTTGCTTATGAATCAGTCTTGAAATATCTTCCAAAGACAGTTTCAGAGCATTAGCTCTTACACTAAGCTCATTGCTCCACTGAATAGCTTTGTACATGGTGAGAGATAGGGATCTAACCCCATTTTTATGCATATTAATATCCAGTTTTCTCAACACAAGCTTTGAGAAGGCTGTCTCTTCTCCAATGTATGTTTTTTTGATATCTGTTTTTGTTAGGAGTTGCATTGCTGTGAAGAGACACCATGACCAAGACCACTCTTAGAAAAGACAACATATAATTGCGGTTGGCTTACAGATTCAGAGGTTTAGTCCATTATCATCATGGCAGGAAGTTTGGGTATATGCAAGCAGACATGGTGCTGGAGGAGCCAAGAGTTCTACATCTTGATCCTAAGGCAACTAGGAAAAGACTGGGTTCTGCAGGCAGCCAGGTGCAGGCTGTCATTCCACACTGTGTGGAGCTTGATCATAGGACCTCAAAACCCCCATAGTGACACACATCCTCGAAAAAGACTACACCTACTCCAACATTGCCACACCTTATAGTGCCATTCCTTAGAGAAAGCATACTCAAACTACCATGATATCTTTATTGAAAACAAACTGCTTGTCACTGTATGGGCTTATTCTAAAGTTCTCCCTTCTTTTCAACAACTCTCCTTATTTGTTTTTGATGCCAGGACTTTGTTGGGTTTGTTACTACGGCTTTGTAGAATGATTTGAAGATAGTCTTATTTTAGTTCCAGTATTTCTTCTTTGTTCAGTATTGTTCAGGCCATTTGGAATAATCTGTACTTCTGTATTAATGTGAGAATGTCCCCCTAGTTCTGAGAATGTCTCACTACAGTTTTCTTGATGGTTACACCCAACCATTGATCACTTTCCCTTCAGTAACACAGCCATTGAAAGAATATTAGTTCTACTGAACCTTGTCCATGGGAGTGCTCTGCCTCCTCCAGTGCCCTCTTCAATTCTTTCTTCATTGTTGCACATTTTCCATTTTAGATTTCTTTCCCCTTGGTTATGTCTATGTCTTGCTATTTTAGTTTTCTCTTGAAACTATTATAGATGTAGTTTTCTTCCTGATTTCATCCTCAGCATTTGAAATCTTCCTCAGTGGTGCTTTGTATGGCTTTTTCTGAAATGTATAAAACTCATCTAAAACAACAATTTGAGTCTATATTTTGAATAAAACGAACAGAGAAAAATTCAAGTAGTAACATTGGATGCTACTTTATCCAATCTAGG